CAGCTGCTACAGTTTAGTAAGTGGAAGAGTGTGGGACATACAGCCAAGCCTTGGAGGCGATGGTATGTTCAGTTAGTTCGGGAACTGGGTAGCTACGAATGCACTGAAAGCAACAGCTTTGATGTACGAGAACCAACGACTGCGCGATTGGACAACTTCTGCCAGTGTCATTAATCTTTGGTGAGTTGAATCTCGAGGTGCCCACCAAGGAGGCGGAATTTGTGGACCCGAAAGAGTCTACTGGTAAGTGTTTGCACACTTCGTTGCCGGATCATACACTGTACAACTCTCGGTTGCCTCCACTCAGGACAGGGCTGGGCGAAAATAGCTCTGCGATGCAGATGGTCTTCTGGCATGGGGAACATGTCATAACCAACATAACCTATGAAGTATGAGCAAAACATCTACCGGAGGACAGTTCCTTTTTCATGAAAGTATCTGCCGTACTCTAGCATTACTGATCCTACGTTCCCACCAGACCCGAAAATGCTTCAGAAACCTCGATAACCAGACATTAGCAGCTTTCGCATGTGCGCGTAGAGGCCACGTCTCCGATTCGACTAGGGGCGTGCGGGGAGGCGTCAATTAATGATGGTGAATGAATTAAGCGCTGTGAGGATGAGCCACCTCCAGGTTACAAAACCGAAGAATAAGGTTTGGTTGAGGTACCCCACCTTGAGACTTTGACTCAAAAATTTGACCCACAAGGTAGTGGGAGGATGCGGGGTTTTGTTCGGAGACCCTGCCCCTAGCCTCTGACTCTAAAGTCTGAACCGCGAGACGGCGGTTGTTAGGGTTTTCTTGTGGGACTCTTTACGAGGCCAAGGACTCGATAGTTTGACTCGCCTAGATGCAGGGAGCTGCCATAGGACGCAGGAAGTAGGGTATTATTGTCTCACTTCTAATGCAGCTGCGCACATCAGGTGCCTTTTGGGCAGCACCAGACCCTTTGGTTCTAAAACTATTTCGACCGTATTGAATAATGCTCCGGCGGTCACGGTCAACCGCTGAACGATCGGAATGTGCGGTTTTTGGGGCACACCCTTTCTAATCCGTCCTTCCTCAGGGTAAGACACTGTCGCTGCTTCTGTAAATATGGGCATAGTGGTCTCCTGGGGGAAACACCTTACTGTCTTCACACTCCTATCGCGGAGGACGGTACGAATTTACCCGCAAACAGCCTCGCAATACGATTACTCGCAGCACTGAGACTCACTGTTCTTCGTCGGGCTTCCCCATAGGCCTTTCTGGCGTGTTTGAACCCTTAGTAATTGAGTTCCAGCCAACATACCCCACAGAACCATTGCAGCACAGAATCCCGACCACCACAAGTAGACAGTTTTAGGCCGGGCAATGAACTCATTACACCGGATGAGTTCATGGAAATATGGTGCGGTAAACAAGATGTGGTTTTTGTAGTTGATCATCAGACAGCTACAACATAAACATCTAGATGATTGTCAAGCTAAACTAAACATCGAGTGCAGTAAGCCTAGATTCCTCGCCGCGAATACAAAGCACCTTAAACGAACCGGTCAGTAAATGTGAAATTTATCAGTGGATTGATGAACGAAATACCAAGCGTTCCAGGATGGACCGAAAAACCTTTGCCTTATTACTTTCAATCAGGGGGCGATTTCAGTCAGTCGGGAAACGCGATCGCCACCAGTCATGAAAACCGATTTCTGTTAGTTTATGGATGTTCAGTTCAATCCAAGGTGTATTAATGCTACCAACTAACGACCTTGACAAGTGAACGTATCATGTGGAGTATTCTTGTGAATTGGTAGAAGCGCATTATGTGCGAAGCGTTATTAAGAGCGCGTGAGTCCCTTGATTTGCTCCGCTGCCGCTCCCTCTAGAATATTCAATACATCGCCGGAGACGGCTTTCCAGCGAGCATCACATCGATTGTGATTTACCACACACAAGAATCCTAGAACATCATCTGCATGCTGAAATGGCGTGAAATGCCAACAGGTCTAACTGATCAGCTAACTGATAGTTGCCCCAGGACCGAGACCGATATTCGTGACGTCCATGGACTCAATGAATGCTACTCCAGCGCCACAATTACAGCGATCTCGGACATCATGGGTTGTAGTCTCGGTTGCGCAAGATAATAAAATGTTCTTCCTGTCGACGAGACAACCTTGGGGTCACTGTGTTGGCCGTCGTAATCCTCCTCGAAATAACAGATCCCAGGGTACCAAGGAGAACCCAATTTCTGACCCTCAACTGGTTCTTTTACTATCCAAGAGAAAGCACCACACTGGAACTACCAGGTGTCCTGTGTCCCATTTTTTCGGTCAAACCGATTACGTCATAAACACAGCCATTATAATATCTTACCACATCAGCGAACTCCTTTTGCTTGGGCCTGGTTAAACTTACCCTTACTTCAGTGTATTCTCAAAGTTGGATATGTCAACTATTGTCGAGCCTGTGCGGGACTGTCATTATGAATGTAGCACCAACGTAAATCATCTAACCACACGACAAAATGACGAAGAGTTACCGTTACACATTAAGTAATCTAAATAATTCTGCCTCACTGGTTTGGCATGCATTTCATACCTGCAAAGCGTAGAATGCTGCTACAAGACTGAGGGCTCGAACCCTAACCTCATGCTTGCGGGTGACCCAACTGAGGTAGTGGACGAACTCGTCTACCAGGGCAGCTGCATCGGCCCCATTTGTCTAGTCAAAGGCGGCACTTTCGTCTCGTTTGAGAGGGCCAAAGCAGTTTTTGTGAACCTGCATCACCTTTGGTGCAGGCGTAAAATCAATTTTAAAAAATCGTTCAGCTGTAGCACCCTTTCGGTGCCTAGCTGCCATGCCGACATAAGGAGGCACGAGAGCTGGGATATTGCAGGCTGCCTAAGCCTAGACAGGAGCAGTCGAGATGCTGAGGTTAATTCCGAACTAGGGACCTTCCAGTCCGTAAGGTGGTGCCTTAACCACTGAGTTATCTCGAGCATGTAACATCTGTTTGTCTGCTAAGGGTCGAGTTTATAATGGTGCGGTACACTTCATACCGTTATATGGGTCAGAAACCTGGCCTCTATGCACTGACGACGTTAAAAAACCTTCAGTATTTGACAATCGGTGCCTTCGGAGCATTGAGCGAGTTTGGTGATAACATGGATGAGTGATGCTGAAGCACGTTGCATGGTTTTCAGAATAGACCACAAACGACAGATTGGGTTGTGCTGGCTTGGTCATGTGATTCGTATATCAACCGACCGAATTCCTAGAGTACCCATTTTCACACAACTACGCAAGGTGGAAACGAGCCAGAAGTCAAGCAATGACTTGGTGACTTGGCAGCGAAATGTAAAAGCCATGATGAAAAGCCATTACCAGCAAACTCAACTGTGCTATGCCGTTTCGATGTGATTCGTAAATCAACCGACCGAATTCCTAGAGTACCCATTTTCACACAACTACGCAAGGTGGAAACGAGCCAGAAGTCAAGCAATGACTTGGTGACTTGGCAGCGAAATGTAAAAGCCATGATGAAAAGCCATTACCAGCAAACTCAACTGTGCTAGTCACTGCCGTTTCGCTGGATGGGGACTTTTAGATAGGATACATCGATGGTTAGAGACATTATCAGAAAGAGCCCAGTCGAGCCATGAATAACGCTCGTGCATCAAAGTTATTGCCTTCAACGCATAGCCCTCCTCCCGTTTTTTTCAACGAGAAGTCTACTGATACCCTTGTATTTAGGCACCAATTATATCCAACACCTCCAGTGCGGAGCTATCCAACCCTATTTCCTCAAGTCATCGAAGAAAACGTGGTAACTATACCCACTGCATAACAAATACGCTATTTTCACAGCTGAATATGATGATGACTACCAGTGTAGTTCAGCGGAAACAGCGTAGGTGCTGGGACACCTCCAAATATCGAGTCCCATGTGTTACATTGTTCTCTGTTCCAGCATTACTCCGTTCTATTCGTATAGCAATTGCGACGCGTTCTCTCTCACTGCACGCACCTAGCGCTAGATTATCTGCTAAGTCCTGTTCCAACGCAATCGGGATTTGATGGGTACTACATAAGTAGTGCTTGTGGTTTCAGTCTTCCAAGATGACAGTTGATATACGAATGAGTGACCAAAGTATTTCTGTTACATTGTTCTCTGTTCCAGCATTACTCCGTTCTATTCGTATAGCAATTGCGACGCGTTCTCTCTCACTGCACGCACCTAGCGCTAGATTATCTGCTAAGTCCTGTTCCAACGCAATCGGGATTTGATGGGTACTACATAAGTAGTGCTTGTGGTTTCAGTCTTCCAAGATGACAGTTGATATACGAATGAGTGACCCAAAGTATTTCCATTTTTGGAGTAAATCGGTAAGTTGGGGGATTAAGACGTCTCCTGGTCAAGTCTGGGGAAGTTAGTTCTTCGCGGAGAGGGAATTCGGCGCCTTGAGATTATCTCCGAGGCGCGGACTTCCCCTCTTGGAACGCTTCCAAGTTGGGAGGAATATCCACTAGTGTGCGATAGATTTGAGGACAAGCCAATTTGTTCTTGCCTTCCAGTGCTACCCTGTAACATCTAAATTTCTTTCAAGAGAATAATTCCTCATCAGTGAAAACCAGCGCGCTAGGTGGGTGGTCGCAGCGACCGGATAGCACGTAACTGTCTTACAACCTCGATTTATAAGAACTTCGTTGGAACAAGCTACTTGACGCGAAATACCCAATCTTGGACTAATTGCCGACTTTTCGAGAGGGCAACCCACCAAAAAGACTACATTGGCCGTTTCCTTCGGACGAAGGCGACTGTACTTTGGAGTCACAAGGGATTCTTTATCTCTAGCTTCTCGGTAACGGAAAGAATCTGATACCAAAGACTGTTCGCTGAATGTCCAATCAGCGAACTGCCCGCTGGACACCTTCTGAGTAAGTAGCCTAACCGAGATTTTTCCAACCATCAGTGAAAAGATGTTTAGAACAAGACCTTGTGGAGATGTATGACAGCTCACCTGCGTTTTTCTTCTTTCTCAATTTCCCGGTAATTTGCTTCCATGCTGCGAAGGTCGTCGAAGGGATTTACTTCTTTGTATTTACGGGGGTCAAAACGCAAGGCTTTATGAACGTCCCGGATAACACGTGCGTATTCTTTCGATTCAACTGCTTCGCTGTCATCGATGAAACTATCGTCGCTTTCGTAATCATCTTCGCTGTAACTGTAGTCCCCTTCATCAAGGGTGCCAGGTGGTTTGATCCCGAGCTGAGCAGCTATCCCTCGAGCTGGATAAACAGGCATTGGACGAGAAGCTGGAGGTCTCTTCAGAGAGGGGCTTGGAGATACCGCCCTCCGGCTGGCAACAGCGACAACCCCATTCGGTTTCTTGATGCTATTTACAGTAACAGGCCTCTTAGCCTGGTCTTCCCGAGAGTTAGTGTTACTAGTCGCGTTGAGCTTCAAAGTTTGGTGATCGGACAACTTTTTGGTACTCATTTGGGGTTTTTGTATAGTTGGAGTCTGTGAGGAGTTGACCATTTTAGAGGTAAGGGGAACCGATGAAGAGCGGGGATTCTTAGTGTTCGATGAAGGGACAGGGGCGACTTTCTGGCGATCAGACGAAACCCGCGGCTCGGTCAATCCGGTACGTGGTATATTTGAACCTAGCTGCATCGCAATGGCGCTTCTGGATGACATACTAGTCGGTTTCTGAGGCTTTTTGGCTTGTACTACTCGGTCTGAGGAGTTGGGGCTTGTGGGGTGAGAAGGGCGTTTCTGCAATTGCCCTCGAACTTTGCTTAGCGTCTTAGCCGGGGGAGGGACCACCGTACTATTGCATTCGGCCGTGCCGGATGGCAAGGATATACGGTTAGGGTAATCCGTATCTGAACATTTTTGTACAAATGGAGGTCGAGATGTGGGATGCTTGCTCAGTGGTTCAGCGGCGGGCTGTTTCGGGTCATAGGATACACCCTTTGGATCACTTTTTACGGAGTTGTCCGAAGATCGGTAACCAGGGTCTGCAGAACAAGGTATGAGATCGTCAAAGGCTTTCCGTTTGATCTGTTGTGTCCCAACATTCTTCTTGGCCAGTTCAAGCAGTTCAGTAAATGACGGTTTTACTTTCGTTGCCTTTTTATTCACGGAAGTCGTTTCACTAGGTCGGGGAGCACAGTCAGGAACAGGCGCCCTTGCGGTATCCAGTTTCTTTACCAATTCGCCTTTTACCGAAACCGAAATCCTTTTGGACGGATTTGATTGACACTCATTTTTCCCACATTCAGCTTTTGAGAGAGTCAATGGGCGGGCTGAATCACCACTGGGGGTGATTCTTGAGACAACCTTAGGTGAATCCTCCTTTTTCTCTCGAGCCGGATAACAAACAGAAGGTACAGAACACCTTGCACTGGCCAGCTCTTTGAACCGCTCCTGTTTTTTAACTTTCGCAAGTTCTTCGAGTTGTTTGATCTGGAATGGGAAAAATACGTGACTAACTTACGTGACTAACTTACCTCCTTATCTCGTTTCTGCTGGTTCTTATAAGCCAGGGCCAGCAATCCCCGGAACTCCATCGAACCGCGTGAAATGTAGTATGTAAAAAGTACTAAGCTCGTCGCCAATCCAAATACACGGTACTGGCTGAAAACGAGGAAGGCACTGTCAAAAACGAAGTTTAAAGGCACACAGCTGCTACCCAACCCATAAGAGGCACAATAGATGAAAGGTTGGCAAGATACGTCCACAAAGAGCGATTCCGAAACAGGATCGCCTGGATATTGGTTTGACTGAAATCAATAGAAATCAGTTCCTGGGATATCAAGGCTAAAAAACTCCCGGAACTTCTCCGCACCATTGATTAGAAAAGTGCGTTTGGACAAATTCGTCCCCATTCTTAACAAGATACCTAGAAGGCTACTGGTAATTAAGACGGACAGATAAGCACAGATTTGATCTAGTCATCTGAACATTGGACAAAGTTGTTAGGAAGGTCTCAGAACGTGAAAAAGGGGAAATAAAGATACCCCTTTACAAAATTCTAACAATGCAACCACTTCACGGAAGTATGACCGATGGAGAAGCACCGCAAGTCCTACCTCCTCATCGCTGCACGACAGTGCTGACCATAGTGTGATAGCTGTTGCACATGGGCTAAAAACAGCTCTGGTGCACGTACCACCATGAATTCATGCTTGCGGTACAACCCAATCACCTCCATACAAAAACTGTGCCTCTGATAGGACCGCAGCATTTATGGAGGCACGGCAACAATTTATTCTGGCCGCAACCACAATTCAACCCGCCACCAGGTGAAATTGAGTGTCCGCACCTATCAAAAAGTTTTGTAGAGCCAAGACGTCTGAATGGAAGATGCGAGAAAATGCTGGAAGCGTCGGTAAGCTGCTCCATTTGACTCGTCCGACTGGTCCTCGAAAGCCTACTGTCAGCGAAATTATCAGAAACCAAAATGGCTCCCTGATATCCGGCAAAGCGGACCGTCTGGACCGGTGTGCACAGTACTTTGAACAGAAATTCAGTCGGCCACCTGCCTTCAATAAGGAATCCTGGCATCAAGTAGGGAGAACGGTTGTGAATGTGTGCCCCTTTCAACCACAATCATTTCAGCGTATATCTCCACTCAAGCGTCATCGTACTGCTGGACCTGACGACCTTCCACCGCTCCGTCCAAGAATGGCGGTGGATTCCACAGTCCGTTCCTGTCTAGCGTATTTAACCCTATCAGGAGGAAAAAGATCGTCCCAGGCAGCTGTAGTGAATCGATAATAATGCCCATTTTCAAAAAGGGTACTTGCAGTGAATGTAGTAATCACAAGGGTGTTAGCTTGACTGCCACTGTAACAAGGCCTCTGGCGTGGCTGATGCTTGGTCTTACGACGACACGCGAAACTTTGACCGGGTAGAGGTTGTACTGACCAATTGTTCACGCTGTCAAGCGTGAGATCAACGCCATATATACAGATGACCCGCAATCTTTGTGTTCCTTGACTTCAAGCGTGCGTTCGATTCTGTCGCTCGCTCAGTGCATAGGAGGGTATGCTCTAGAAGTGTCCGAACATAATCCGGTCTCCATATTCGCATACTTCGGGGTTTTAAAAGTGTATGCTCCCCGACAACTTCACCACGAAAAGTAGTGTCTAACAGCAATGCGGTCTCTTTTTCAGTACACCTTCGTCATTGATTAAGTAATGAGGCGGACCCTGGAAGCTGTTCAAACCTTCGGAGTTCAAATCGTTACTGGTGAGAACCTTTTTAGTCTGGAGCACGCAGACGATGTGGTCATCAAGCTCTGTTGAATAAACCGACCACCATCATATCGTCTTTCGGCATGCGTCTTGCACCTTCAAAGTGCAAGGTCGTCCTCCGGAACGTGGAAAAATCGTCCAACTGTAGCACCCTATCGAAGCCTGATCGCCATGCCACCAGAGGGAAGTACGAGGGCTCGGATACTCCCAGGTTGCCCAAGCTTAGACAGGGAAAGTCGGGTCGAGGGAGAGGTCGAGTTCGAACCACGGACCTTCCGGTCATTAAATTAGCGCTCTAACCCACTGAGCCATCCAGCCCATTTCAAAAACTAAGTTCGTAAATGAATCCCTTGCAGTTCTGGGAGAGCCACTGGACGCTTTGGAAAGCTTTACATATCTCGGTAGTTGCATTGGCTGTCGGAAGTGTGTATGATGAAGTCAGTGCACGAATCTCAAAGGCCACATCCTAATTTGTCACAAGTGTTTGATGGGATATGGAGCACGGTGACAACCATATTGTTAGGCAGAATTCCACACGAATCCCGCTTTACCGCTCGCACCTAGGTACTGCTACAATGGAAAAGCCTGTCCCGCACAAGATTGGCCAAAATTCACGGATTGCTATGCAGGATCGAGGATTTCGCCCAGGATTCTCGGATCGGTTTTGTTCTTGTCGTTTAGCAACTGTCGTTTACCTGAAAGGCACAAGTGAGAAAAGGGTGTAGCACTGCTTTTTGAGTTCTCAGCGTTGGTAGTATGCTTGCCAGAGCGAGGACTCGCATGAATAAGTGTCTAATAGTGCTTTGAATTGGGCTCCAGATGGAGCATGGACAACCGTCGGAGGAAAGTTATTCCACGCAGCTGATAATCGAAATGAGGAAAAATTTTGCCTAATCAATGTATGCGCTCTGAGCTTGCAAATCCCTTTGCCATCCCTTCGCCGGAGAATAGTAAGTCGAGCCTATTCTCACTCGGAATGATATGTGTGATAGAAACGCCTTGATCCAGTGTAGGATTTTCCCTCGAATCTCATAAGACTCGAGTTTGTGGAGCAGCCGGACGTGTGGGACTCGATCAAATGCTTTTGAGACGTCGAAAAATATGACATCCGATAAGAGTCCTTCGTCCTTGGCTTGGCTTAAGGTGTCCATAAACACGAGCATGGTTGTCACGCAAGAGCGGTTTGGGAGAAATCCGTGTGAGCTGGAGATATCAGGTTGCTGGAAGTAAGGTGATCTAGGATAGCTCGATTCACAATGCGTTCCATCACCTGGCACGGCACGCTAGTGAGGCTTATAGGCCTGTAGCTGCCAGGCGACAGTTCGTCAAGTGACTGACGAAACACCAGGTGTAGATGATTTGCCAGTGTGGAAGACGTTTCTTTCAGGATCCTTGGATGGACCTCGTCGGGCCCCAACGCGCAGGATGGGTTGATCTGGTGCAAGAGTTGACGAAAGTCCTCCACCGTGAAAACCAAGTCGGTTAGAGGCTGTTCGTAGTTTCTCCTTGACAAGAGTGGATGTGACGAGGAGGCTGGGATTGAATATAGACCTGCATAGTGTTCTTTGTAAACCTCTGATACCACTGTTGGGCCACTCGTCGGTTTTCCGTTCCTGTCCCTCAAGGAGAACGCGGATGGACTGTTTCTGCGGCGATGTCTCATGTATTTGAACAGCACATTTCTGTTTTTCCTGACGAGTTCCAGAATGGTGGCTTGCTTTCATAGGTTCCATAGGCGGAATTCTGGTTTACAGCGGTTCTGCATCTTACGAAATGCCAGCTCATCTTCTGTCTCTTCTCTTTATCAACTTTTTGAAAAAAAGTTGGAACCACTTTCCCAGGAGTCACCGAATCATTTAAGTAGCCTGCGGCTCATCCGACTGCGCGCCGGTTTTTTTGGGACGAACATCGCGACAGCCTCGTGAACCTTTCCGACAATGATCTTATCTAGATCTTTCACTGAAGGTGGTCCCAGTTTAACTTGTTCAAGAATGATGCGCATTCATGAAAAGTCTGCGCGGCAGAAGTTTCGAATCCATGTTTGAGGTTCGGGATTTCCGGCTCAGTAGTCGGTTAAATAAAAGATCAGCACACAGTGGTGGCCATGTCCCAGTGAAGCGTTAATTATCACCTGATCAACGAAGGGTCTTTCGTTGCTCAAGGGTTCGTATGAGGAACTGGTCATCCTCAGCGGGGGACTCGAGGGGCTACGGCAGACCACACCGAGAGGGGATTTTTCGTTTGCGGGTTTTCTCGCTCCGTGAGATCCCGATCCGCTTGGGCCTTTTAGCTTTGGGTCAAGGAGATTTTTCCCCGTGGGCGGAAATTTCGACCACTGTTGCTTGTAGCTCGTTCAGCACCGCCTTTTGACGACCAGATTTGCTGTCGACCAAACACTGGGAGCAAACTTTCGTCTTTCTGCTATGTCAAATGGTACAGTAGCTCTACACTGACCTTGAGGGGACAAAGGAAAGTTAATACAATTGTATTTATGGGATAATAGCAGTGTTCCCCAAGGTAGTACCAGGAGCTCCGTGGGGGGAGAGAGGCATCGAGTCAAAGATGCTCGATCCGGATTGGCTGGCATTCTGACCAATCAGGGCATGCCTTCGTTTTGCCCGTGTCCTTCAGGTGGCAGGTTCGTCCAAATGATGTGACGTTCTGTTATTATGGATGGCTGGCTTCCGGACACCTCCCTTTTGAGAAGGCCTTTAAACAGACTGCTGTTTTGAAATCCTCTGTGACAATTCACGGAGGTGCTGTCGCATGTCGGTCCGTCCCTGGGGCCGCGGGCATGCCCATCTGGGATCTGGTACCCTTATATTCGGAGGTATATCATGGCTGCCCGGTGTCCCATGCAACATGGTCTCTTTACGGAGCTGCAGTCGGTTGTCTGAAGTTGGTTCCCTTGACGTGGCCTTGCTGATGATCTCACTTGTGCATCCTGTTTGACATAGTCGACCCTGCGTCCACCGTGCAGAGGATTCCCAATATCCTCGAATCAGTGGCTGGTCTCTGTGTGACTGTTGTGGAGTTCCTCCTGCCGGCTTCCCTTCCTTGACTTTCCATATGGCAGTAGAATGATCCGCCTGAACCTGCGACTGTAAAGTGAAGGGTTCGGACCGCGAATGAAACGTTGCAGGCTGCCGACAGGATTCATTTAATTGGACTGTCGCTGCCGGAAGCTGAATAGTCGCTGTGTTGCGCATGCTCCATTTTGCCTCCGGCTTGGATGTAACTGTGGCGACCAGTAAACTGTCAGGACGTGGTGTTCTCATTAACGTATCGGAGCCATTAGCCGCTGTTCCGTTACAAACGGCACTGAGGAGTTCATTCAAGAGCTGAAGCTCATTAATCCA